GTTTTAGTGAGAAAAAACAATATTTGCTTTTTAAAAAGCCTTTTTCCAAAAGGTACATCTGGAAAAAGGGGGGTCGTCTTATAATCAGGGTCGTCTTATATTCGGGCCAATACAGTAGTTATCATATTTAGACAAACTTGTCCTGTTTTTGTTTATTCAATGAAATGTATGAGCATTTTAGTCAGGTTTTAGTCAATTAAATCTGTGGTACACATGGTGTATTTTACCTCATCTAGTTTACTGATTTATTATAGGCTTTTTGTTATATAAATCAATACCAAAGACTTACGCAATAGCTCTGTCTACATTACGAAAACAGCTAAAACAAACGAAAAATATTGTAACAGTGAAATTCCTAATTCCAAATGGTCCAAAATTGCAATAGTCAATTTCTCTATTAAAACAACAGCGGTTGAGTAAGTGCATTTATTCATGGATCATAAACGCAAACAATACAGTCGAGATCTCGACAGAACACAGACCAGCTGAGTGACACTTTTATTTAGATCGCTAAACTCCAGCTTGTTTGTCCGTGTTTTCAGATCATCGGCGGTGGCGCTTCCGCAATGAGGAGCGAGCGTGTGCGCATGGTTGCCAGATTGCTTAAAATAAGGAAAACACACTGGGCAGAAAATGTATCAATTTAACAGCAAAGTTCTGATTCGGGGATTAGAATTCTTGATATCTGGCAACCGCACTCATGAAAACTCGCGTAGAAGAGGCTTGTAGAGCAGTCTGCAATAACATTTTGTCTCCTTTTTTTGACAAAAATAAAAAGAGGTTTTTGGTAAAGTTTTTCGTCATAGTCTTCATTAACGAAATTAACACTAGTGTGTGTGTGTGTGTGTGTGTGCGCGCGCGTGCGTGCGTGAGAAAGAGTGTGTGCTTGGAATGGATCCCTCGCTGCTGTTGTATATGTGTCATCTAACCAGGATGGCAGAGCCAGTGACAGATTTAACCATTTTCTAACTCAGACATGCGATCAGTTTGAAAGTGCAGCTTATTTGACTTAGATAACGCCAATGACAGCTTCAGACTAAAAATGACCCAACCCAGTGGCTCCTAGAATTAAACTTTTTTTTTAGTTGAAAAATTACAAAATTGCTTGATACAAACAGTTTTTCAGAAACGCCATTGCTCATGCTCCCTAACTTTTGTGGATGAATCGTATATGAACCCCCCCCCCCCCCCCCCCCCCC